GCAGGAGGGCGAGAGCAGCATCGGCGCCTGGCACAGTGATGACATCACCCGGGATCGTCTCAGAGCGCCACTCTCTGATTGGTGACCCGACGAGAGTGGCAGAGGTTCAGCCGTCCTCTGCACCGCTGGGGTTACGTGAACGGGCGTTTTCTGGGGCGTGGGGGAGGGGGAACGAGAGGCGGGTGCGAGTTGGCTCGTTGAAATCATCCAGCAGCTCTAAAATGACTCTCTCCACCTTCCGGAACGTTGCCGTGTCTCATGTTGTAAATGATTAGCACATTAGCAGCCTAGTGAGCAGAGTAACCTGCTGCACCAGACCCCTTGTTAGAGCAGTGAAAAGCATAGCTGTGAGGCCTAATTTATGGCAGCGCTGGCTAATGAGTGGATGCTATGGTGGGAAGGTGAAAGGAAAGAGCTTAGACTTTACACAGCCTACAGAAGGTTGACATTACGTTTCAGTAGCTGCTACTGGAGAACGGTCGTCTGAGTTAATTCAATTAGTTTCTTTTTTTTTTTTTTTTTTTTGGGTCGCATGGGGCAGACAGTCTATCGCGACTCGGTGAATCATACAGCATCAACTCGCCACACCTGAGGATCTGGAGGTTGTTAAGGGGGCTTGCTGAAGTTCTGAGTAACAGGATGGGGAAGAAAAGGGACTTTGAATGTGACGCGGTTGTTGATGTCAGAAGGGGCTGGTCTGAGTATTACACAAACTGCTAATCTACTGGGATTTTCACACACCAGAAACAAAAAAAAAAAAAAGAGAAAACATCCAATTAGCAGCAGTCGGGTGGATGGAAATGCCCCGTTGATCTCAAAGGTCAGAGGAGAACGGGCAGACTTGTTTGTGATAATAGAAGTGATTCAGTAGCTCATTACAACCAATGTATGCGGAATACCTTCACTGTACGCACTCTGAAGTCGAACCTCGAAGCCGACAGCATGCAGAACAACAAATAGTGCCTTGCTAGTCTGCTAAGAACACAAAACCGTGGCTACGGCTCACACAGTCTTGCAACAATTACTCAATAACAGATTCGAAAACAGTTGTCCTGTCCAATGAGTTTGATTTCAGCTGCAACAACAAAGAACGGCACAAAAGCATGGATCCACCCTGCATTGTAATCAATGGTTCAGACTGGTGCTGGCACTGCAACCGTTCAGTATTGTATTCAACTCCAGCACTTTTAAATATGCCTCTTTTTTACGTGGTTTCCCTGTGTTTTGGCACAATCGTGAACTTTAAAACAATTGCAAATTATAATACCTAAATCAAACCGGGCAGAAACTCTACATCTGACGTATCATTTCTTTTTTATTTAAGGCAGTACGCGTTCACACAAGCGCATATAACGGCGGTGCTTTTCTCAGTCTGAAGAAACAAGCTTCAGTGAGTTTACATCAGCTTAACAAACATCCCAGACATTACTGAAGGCAAACGAGCAGATTTATGCTGGGTTCATTTGAGGCCACCGTTATGTTTGCTGCTTCTTCGAGTTCTGCTCCTCGTCTTTTTCTCAGGCGAACACCCGGAGACTAAAATCCCCACAAACATCAACACAAAGCAGAAATTTTGCCCCAGTTCCCCTCCCCGCCTCGGCATCTTCAGGGTGTTTTAACACCAGAGCGGGGTTGTCCAAACGATAATTGCTTCTGAAAGGTTGATTTGTGGCTGTAGCAGAGGGGGCAGCTCTCCTTTCAGCGTTGAGCGAGATTAGCAGTGGATCTCCAGGACTTATCACTCGAGGCGTTGGGATTAGCGCAACGATGAAGTTTAAAACAGAATCGGTGGTCACCATGGCGTTTTAAAGGAAGCGAGAGAAGCTTAAATCAGCTCAAGCTATTATTAGAAGAAGAGGAGCTAATCAGCTTTTTTAATGGTAATTACCCTTCATCAGGATTACACTATTTCATTTTTAATCTTTTTTTTTTTTTTTAGTTCTAAATCAGTGTTTAGACATTAAAAACAAAACAAAAAATGTAAATGAGACCTTTCACTTACAAACAGTATTTATCAGGATTCATTAATTTAACCCTGGAGGTAATACTGCAGATACAACAAATTTAATGTTGTGATTTAATCAAAACTCAATCTGCTTTTGTCAATCGAAATCACACCTTAGTAATTCAGAGGAAAACTAAATGAGATTGGCTGCTTAATGTGCGTAGTGGTCCTGTTTTTACTCAATGTATAGATAATAGGGTTAGCTGGTTGGATGTGATTCTTATTACAGGTTTAACTTTGATGGACGGTGCATTTCATGCCATTAAGGAAGGGCAGATAACAGAATGAATCTCCATCCAGATGTCTGTAAATAAGATTCTCTGTGTTTTACACCCCAAACGATGAGTTTCTTTAATATTCGCCATCACTTAATCGTTAAAAAGGAAGCCTGCATTTCGTAGCCTGCTTCTTTTTCCACATTGTGGGATGGACTAGAACAAGTCCCAGTCTACAAAAATATGAAAAAATTTACTTTTCCAAACAATTCTTCCTACTTGTTGTCTAATTTATGTTGTTCCCACGTTTCTTTTTTTAATTATCTTTCTTTCTTCTCTCTCTCTTCCTCCATCCCTCGTATCTCTCTGATCAAATCTCTTCTATAAACGCCAAAATTAGATTATTAGCTGAAACACAGCGAAGGAAGCCTGAAAGAGATCAACTCCTCAGCGACACTGGTTGTCTTTTTGCCGACTGAAACCGAGGTCGTTCGTCTGGCGTTTTATGGAGCGCAGACAAAATGTCGCCCTCGCCCGTCGTTCCGATAGAGATGCTTGGCATTAAGTGGGGTGACCAGACGGGGTGGGGTGGATGAGTCCCTGCAGACGTGGGTGCAAATGAGAACATTCAGACGATGGACCGGATGGGTTAGGGAATCTGATCCTGCTGTTACAAGTGCAGGCAAGCATGACTTGTGTCAGGGATGCAGCTTAGAGCCAAACTGTGACAAATTGGATGAGAAAATGAAGTTGTCACTGAACCCAGGGGGTCCATCGTGCAAAGCCGGGGCGGCGGCGGGGGGTTACATGGTCTGACAGCAGGTCAGACTAACACATAGTGATGATAGGCACCCTAATCTTATCCAATTTAACAATAAGACCCCATGTATTCTTGTGTTGATGGTGTTAATAACTAGTAGAGAAAAAAACAACTGCAGACTGACTTTGGAAAATGGCCTGCCAATACCAAGCCTAGGTGGGTATTATTACAGGGAATGGTCCATCGATAACTTCCCATCTCATGAGTCCGAAAGACCGGTGTGTTGGCCACATCCCAGCGATAACTCAGCTCCTAATTGACAGCGTCCGCGCTTCCTCCCAGGCCACACAAGGGGCGGCAGAGCGAGCGCAGAGGCGAACGGAGGAAGAGTAACGGCGGCGAAGCTCGGGGAACGGTTGGACGAGGAGGCGCGAAGGTGACACACAAGAGATCGCCGGTCAACCAGCCTGAAAAGCCGGAGCGCCGGAGCTTTCTGCGCTCGCCTTGACAGCAATCCGTTTAAAAGCATCCCGGTGCCAACAGGGTGCTAAAACCCCAATCAGACCTGCTGAAAGGGAAGAAAAGGCGAGGCACTCGGCGTCCACTCGTGTGAGCAATTCACCTCCGACTGACCCGCTCGGGTTTTTTAAATAAGCCGCGTGCATCGTGAAGAGCACCACAGCTACGTGGAAAAGCCCAAAGACAGCCGTGGGTCTGTAAAAGCAAAGGAGTGTTTTTTTGTTTGTTTGTTTGTTTGTTTGTTTTTTCTAAAAGAGGACATCATGTTTGGACTCATCAAGGTCAAATGAGTAGTAAATGATATTTCTGAAATCTTCCTAGATACAACTCAGTAAAATCTGATCATGTCAGATATCAGCTTGAGCAAAATACTCACAGTATGCCAATGGTATGAGCTTTGCAGTATTTTACTGAGATTGTATGTAATATTAAAGCAAAAGAAAAAAAAAAAAATATATATATATATATACACACATATATTTTTTTTTTGCTTTTTATATTTTTTTAAAAGTGCAGCTTCAGATTAGCCTTTTTATTTAGTCTGTAAAATATTTGAATGACCATCAATAAAACAAGTGAAGTCATAAAGCAAATTGCCATTCTTAGTATTAAAATCCCTGAAAAAACAGAGTGGATTTTGCTGCCTTATTCCCTCATGAAGGGGTCAGTGGAGGCACGTAGATCAGCTGTTGCAGCTTTGCGAAAGAACTGGCAGCAGTGTGGATGGCACTTACGCAAATGAACAGTAAAGTTCTTCTAATATTTTCTTATAGCTCCTTATCCCAATGATTAATGGGCGGCTGGAAAAAGACGGCATAAAGGTCTGCAAGAGAGTCAGACGAAGATTGATCTCATTCTTTGTGCTCTGCCTTCACTATTTCAGATAAAAAGTAGTCGCTATAGTTGAAATTGAGATTAGCACACACACACACAAAAAAGAAAAAGTGTCTTACCAAAACTAAATCAGCCAAGCTGGCTGCAATTATTACCTTAATTAAGATATTGAGGCTTAGTAAGCAGATCAGAGAAAGTCAGAAAACATAATGAAAGTTCATATGTCGACGCAACGTTGGACGGCTTTCGCTGGCACCCTGGTCTGGTTTCCGTTCTTCCCTGGAAATATTTGGTGAGAGTATAATTAGCTAGCGATGGGCTCTCATCCGAGACTGGTATCGACGTGCCCCTCCTGTGTGTGGTTGCGCGCCGATCCAGCTCTGACAAAACAGTAATTAATATTTTCTCTCCATTGTGGAGCAAGAGAGGACGTTTGAGTAACAGTGCCAAAGAAGGGCACTGCCAAGCTTGCCATCTTGCCAGTTTTTTTATTATTATTATTGTTATTTTAGCTGAAAGAATAGTGTTTTTCCATGTGCCAACTGAGTGATGTTTAAAAAACAAAAAGAGATTCTCTCACTTTCTCTCAAGTGTTCTTTAAAGACCACAGTAAAAGTCAGAAAAGATGCCCCAGTGGACTTTTTTTTTCTGTCACTTTTTGCTCCAGGTTGTGGGGGATGTGGGCAGGACCAGCAAAGAACCGCTACAGTCAGATGGTGTATGAGAACGGAGAGCCGTGCTGGCAAGGAGGATCTCGCACTACCTCTGTAAGTAAAGATCAACGTGCAGCCCTGGCAAGCGCACCTGGTCCACGCAATCAAACTTTATGTGCTGCATTACTTCTGCTAATGTCAGTCCCTGTGACTTTTGGGGTCATGCTTCGTTCACGCGTTCTCTTGTTTACCTGCTTATTCATGAACTTGGACACAGATTTGATCAGATAAAACAATTAAATAGGTCACTAAAGTTCTCAGACATTTTGCTCAAAGATCCAAATGTGGTTGAGGAGAAGTTTTTATAAACAGGTCAAACAATTTACAGAAAAACATGATAAAGCTTTGGCGTTTATTTGTAATAAATCTTAACTTAAACTTGAGCACTAAACCTACTTTTCATGTCTTAACAAATAAAGCAAGAGGCACAAAGTGAACATTAAAATAGCTGAGATAAAATGTATCAGTGCCTGAGATGGTTGTATTAGTCAAGCTTTTCAATTCTTCCTGTGCCAAATAAATAAATAAATAAATCTTACCAAGTTCCTGATATTAAAAATTCACTGTCCAAAAAAACTGAAATGGTAGGATGCTTACACACACCTCCAAATTGTGCATACAGTGATCTGAGAGGGAAGTGCTGAGTTAGCTAGGTGGTAGATGACATTGAAAAGAAGCTGTAGCCTGCCTGGTAGCGTTAAAGAGAGTTTTTTTGTAAATTATGGGAAAACATTGAGGTTCAAATGTGACTCTTAAGCAATGGCATTTTGACTGTAGTACCAAGAAGGACGGTGGGGGAAAAAATATATGAGCCCTTACCTTCACATAGAATGAGTTTTTCCAAGCTTGCTGTTATCCAGCGATAGCAGTTTCTGGAGAATATAGTTTGATCTTAATCTGGAGTGAAAGGCTGAAGTGTTTTTTATGGTTTACCTAATTTTATCATATCTAGCCAACATTCTCAAGAAGCAAATCAGAATAGATGTTAGATGATTAAATGTAGCAAAAAAAATAAATAAAACGTAATTTTTTATTTTTTTAAGGCAGGCCAAACAAGCTGCTATATAGATGTTCCACAGCAGCATAACAAGTTATGGTGTTAATGTAATCGCTACCGAAAGAGAAAAAACCAGAACGCATCTTCTTCAGAACAAAACATAAACCAGGGTCGGATTTTGAATTTATTTTAATGAGGGAAAACTGGAAGTGAAGAATCCTGCTTCAACCACAGAGGTGAAAAAGGTTCACTAATGAATGTTGCAAGGCTAAAATCCCCTTTAAGCATGAACACACTTGAATTAACGATGCAAATGGGACATGAACTGAGGGAGATAGCTAAACACAACAATGACATGAACCTCATAACGCCACATTAATAAAGGGCAGTTAGGAGATTTCTCTGCTTTCTACAAGGGTCTTGCTGCAAATCCAGCAATTAGCTCTTCATCAACCGTTTGAAAGGTTAACATTTTCATGGCTTCTTGCGTGGCCTCCCCAAAATCATCTTTTTTTCTAATGCTGAATGAAAAAACAAACCTTGTTTTATGATCAGCGCCAGCGGTCCTCCGTTTGCATTCTCGTTTTCCCCACAAACACTCTTACTGTCTCTTTTACTATACGCATTTGCATGTTTTCCTTTTTTTTTTCTTTGCCAGAATTTGCTCAATTAAATATGTAGCACATTTAATAGTCTCTGCTTCTTTTCCTCCCTTGCCCCCTTCTTCAGATCAGATCCCAGTGAACGTCGTTTGTAAATGTATGTACTCTAACCATCCAGGGGCCCCCTTTGAAAAGACTAAATTGAATTCCTTTGATACGACCCCCTAACCGTGTGCAGGCAGCATAGATGAAGACTCGTCAGAACTTGACGCTCATTATATCTGAAATGTCGAAAGTTAGCCTTGAATGGTGCTCCCTCTCTCTCTCTCACTCGGATGAACTAACGTTTCTTTTTTGCACCCAAGTAGGGGACCGGTGATGTATTGTTTTACTTGGGGTAATCCAAATTCAAGCACTGTGCAGTTAATCTTACCAGGTCTGTGGGGAAGGAGGGAAATCAACTGTTTAATTTATTAATTAAATTCTCAGGCCAGGGCTGCGACACGTGAGCACCGACTACAACAACCTCAGATTGGTAACCAGCTGCTCTCACTGTGTGTTAAATTGGGCCAGCGTACGTTTGTTCTCGACGCTCATTATATCCGAAATAATTTATAGAGACGTTCTTGTGTCAAAAAAAAAATCAGATGAGTATATTCAAAAGAAGTAGCTGGTTTCTTTTCTTTGTCCAATTTGATCAATGCAAAACGGTAAAGTCACAATCTAAAATGTGTGGTGATAAAGGACTTAGCTGCAATATTAGTGTAGTCAACCAGTTTGATAAAAGCAAAAAAGAAAACAAAAAAATGTCCGCTTCGCTAAGCTAGTGTTGAGAAAAAATGATTATTTTTAGCCTTTAATACAGATTAATCTTTTT